CTGGTTCAAGCTACTCTGGAGTGAAAAAGAAGAAAATTGCATTATTGTCACTGTTGTGGCTGCATATTGTCATCATTTCTAAAGTTGGCAGGAAGCATTACGATGCAACCATTTAGTGAAAAGTAGGTCTATTTTCTCAGAAGCATTCCCTAAAGTTGGATGTAGGATAATAACTAAAAAGAAAGAATGTTTCAATCAATAATAAGTTTTGAGAATGCTTTTCTGTCGGGGGTGAACCCAAAAAAAACCCACATAAATGATTCAGGAGCAGCAATGCATGCACATACGAGCTGTGAATCATCAGTTAGCAAAGGTGTTACCAACCTACCAGTGTGTGTGTGTGTGTGCATTCTCAACGCAAAACATATTGACAATAAGATGACTGAATGTAAGTTATCAGCGGTTACTCTCAGCTCCTTATTTCTCACTGATTCTACATATTTCGTCTTTAAGCAGCCTCTGGCCCACGTGCTTCCCACAGGCCGGAGCTTCTGTAACGGGATTCCCCCCCAAGAAAAGGCTGCGTTCGATGTACAGTGAAATCCCTCTGATTTATTTGGTCAATGTCTGCCTCATCCACTCTCACTGTACAACGCAATGAGAGCTACCTGAGGCATGGGAGCCCATTGATCTCCTGTCAGGCTGCAAGTGGGGCTCTCTCTCCTCTCGGATCGCCACTTTTCTGTTGTGATTTCTTCAACCGAGGAGATCAGCTGACATTGGTGAAGAGTGTAAATGGGTTCAGATATGTTAATTATTAATGAGAAAATTACCCCACCAAAGTCCATGGTGGGGTTTTGTGTTTGTCTGCGCAGTTTTTGTGCCAGACTCCTTCTCTGCGTATCACCTGTCTGGAACAAAATAAAATCCAGGCCTTGAAGACGAGAGCCGAGAATTTTCCTGTGATATTTATACGCGAGACGTTATTAAAATGAATTCGCTCTGATCTCCTCCCGTCTCGTGCAATTAGCCTTATCGGTGTTTATTAGGTAAATAGAAGAAAAAAAACGTAGGAAAAAAAAAAAGTAGGCTGTGCACACGCAGATATTAAAGTCCGGAGAAATGCATAAAACTTCCAGATAAAAGCGGTTTTCTCTCTGCCCTCTGCTTTCCTTGTCTCTTCTAATGCTTTTGTTCTTTTTGTTGTTCCTGTTTTGTTGCTGTGCTCTGAATAATCTCCACTCGTGGCTGAAAATACAA